GAGGAGCCAGGACCCACGACTCCCACAAGACGCTTGCTGGTGCTGACGGAGGTCTTACAAGCATCAGACTTGGGTGTGCTGTTGGTGCTGCTGCCGATAGGGAAGGCCAGAGAGTCTCTGATGAACTCTGCAACAATGACCGTGAGACCGAGGTTTTAAAAGAGGTTGGGGGGCGGGGGGAAACCGGTTTACTGGAAGGAGAGACCGTGAGTGATTACTCTGAGGGGGGTATACCAGAAATGTATATCTGGAGAGAGTTTCCGGCATCGACGCCCTCTTGGCCCGGTCTGTGAGTGATGGGAATAATTGGGAAGATTTGTTTTAACACATCGGCCGTTTCCCACCCAGGCAGGGTGACCCGAAAAAGAAGAAACACTTTCATCATCACTCACTCCATCACTATCTTGCCAGAGGTGCGCCTACACTACAGTTATAAAACCAATATATCTCCACTGGGGAGATATCTTTTTATTTCTGAGATTCCAAACGTTATCTGACTGTGTAAAGCAAGTGGGGAGATAGAGAGATAAATAGAGATAGACTAACCTATGCTTTGTTCCAAGGCAATGGAGGAGTACCAACAGGAGTCTCTGATTTCCACACCCAGGGTGATGTTGGGCAACAGTCTTGGGTCTTCATTGATCTTGTCTATAGCCATGAAGGCCGCCTCCACCCGCTGTATGCCGTACTGCTCTCGTATCTGTACGTGAAGCAACGTAACGCACGTTAGTCTGTCTGTAACTAACTACATTATAGCTGCCTGTCTGTAGATGTAAGAACATGGCTGTGCCCGGAATGTCCACTCATCAATATTTTTAATGTTTCTTTGTGTAAATTTCTAATGTTTGTTGCATTTACTGTGACATATTTTGGCTCATTGTCGTCGAGCTCTCAGTAGTAGTACCAGTTCCTAGTAACCAGTTACCAGTAACCAGTGTACCAGTAGATGACTCACTACCAACCGTCTGTGTGAATCATTGACTGTATTCATATTGCTGCTGACCATAGCAGGATTTCAAACACCCTCACCCGTAGACTCTCATGGGTCAGTCAAGATAGGGAGCAGAGAGAGGCAGGTCGGCTGTTGGTGCCTTCCCATACTTTCCGTTATATTATACGTACTACCAGCCTACGTGAGTATTCTTACCCCATCCACTTTATCGAAACCCACATGACACTGTGGCATATTTTGGCTCATTATGTTGGTCAACTACTCGTGTGTGTGTGTGTGTGTGTGTGTGTGTGTGTGTGTGTGTGTGTGTGTGTGTGTGTGTGTGTGTGATTTTCTCTCTCTCTCTCTCTCTCATTCGTCTCATTTTAAGAGTTCAGTGAAAGGTGTATATTTAAAATGTTCACAAATTAGCATAACAAATTAACGTAACACAGTTATGGTTAAATGAGGTTTGCAGATGGGAGAGTTAGGGAAGGGGAGGTAATGGGGTGGATGGGAGGGCAGGAGAGGGTAGGGAGGGGAGGAAGAGAGGGAGCAAATGTAATGTGAAGGAAGGGAGAGGATAGAGTGAAGGTACTCACCTCGCCACAGGTGAGAGTGAAGGTACTCACTTCGCCACAGGCGAGAGTGAAGGTACTCACCTCGCCACAGGTGAGAGTGAAGGTACTCACCTCGCCACAGGTGAGAGTGAAGGTACTCACCTCGCCACAGGTGAGAATGAAGGTACTCACCTCGCCACAGGTGAGAGTGAAGGTACTCACCTCGCCACAGGTGAGAGTGAAGGTACTCATCTCGCCACAGGTGAGAGTGAAGGTACTCACCTCGCCACAGGTGAGAGTGAAGGTACTCACCTCGCCACAGGTGAGAGTGAAGGTACTCACCTCGCCACAGGTGAGAGTGAAGGCACTCTTCTGTTTGGGCTGGTGGTGGACGGAGAACAGAGCGCCGATGAGAATATCGCCCTCTACCAGCGCTGTCTTCCGCCTCTTCTGTATCATGGCGGCTTGAACTAAGTACACCGCCATCACCACCAGCACCACACTCTGCCACCACCTGCACGGCCACCTGCACATCCTTCCTCCTCCTCCTCCTCCTGGTCTTCCTCGGTGCTGCTAATCTTTCTCTACTATCGTGATACACTCACATTCCCTCACGAACTCAGCCAGAGAACATCGAGGTGGTACCACTGACAGATTAAGCATCTTCCTTCTACATGATTGTTGACTATGGTGGCTAAGGCCTTCTCCATAACAGTTCTACGCTCATTTTACATCGTCACACTCATTGTAAACTCATCTTAGATAACCACACTCATTGCTGACTCATCTTAGATGGCCATAACGTCTCTCGCCACAATTGTACAGTCCCAAGTTCAATATGTGAGTAACTCTGACTTGCTGGTGCATCATTCGTTGAATTCTTGATATTAGCACCTAGGCAGGCTGGAGTGGAGTCCTCAACAGGTAAGCAAGTATCAAGAAGTCCTCTTGTTAAAGCGGACAGATCCTCTCCTTTATACCAGAGGAATTTTGAACCAAGCGCTCAGACCTTTCTCTGCTGAAAAGTCAGCAAGTGGCTTACATGACGGCTTTCTTGTTTAAGTGGACAGGATCTGTCTATCCTTCTGATAAAGTAGGAGTGCTGACACGGTTATTCAAGCCTGTTTTTCCTGATTATATACCAGGGGCCTTCAGGAGTCCTAGTGGAGGTGAGAGGACTTCTTCTGATGAGGGAACGATGTTAAACCTGCGTCTCGGCTTTCCTGCTCCCGAGTGTGTGAGGAAGCCTGAAGATGTCCAGACTCACATTCAGTGGGCGCAGAGGCTTGAAGATGACCAGACTCACAGTCTGAAGACACGGAAGCTTGCAGCTTGAAGATGACCAGACTGTTCTCACCTGAAAGACAGAATGTAGAAATGTATTTATGAATGACCAGAAAGATGGCGCATCTGAAACAACACAAACACACACAGGCGAGGCCAGGACTCGACCCCTGCAACCAGGATCGTGTCTGACACACACACACACACACACACACACACACACACACACACACACACACACACACACACACACACACACACACACAGATTTACAACATTATTGATGATAATAAAATAAATAAACAACGTTAATAATATCAGTTGTCCATCATGCGTACCAGCAGCGATGAAAACACTTTTCAATTCCATCAATTTCAGTTACGATTTAGGTATAAAATCCCTAAAGCCAGGGATTTTAAGGGCTGCAATGGAATGAGCAGTATTAGCCCTAGAACCAGGGGTTGTTGTGGGTTGTTAAGGGCTGCGATGGTGTGAGCTGAACGAGCCCTAGAACCAGGGGTTGTTGTGGGTTGTTAAGGGCTGCGATGGTGTGAGCTGAACGAGCCCTAGAACCAGGGGTTGTTGTGGGTTGTTAAGGGCTGCGATAGTGTGAGCTGAACGAGCCCTAGAACCAGGGGTTGTTGTGGGTTGTTAAGGGCTGCGATGGTGTGAGCTGAACTAGCCCTAGAACCAGGGGTTGTTGTGGGTTGTTAAGGGCTACGATGGTGTGAGCTGAACGAGCCCTAGAACCAGGGGTTGTTGTGGGTTGTTAAGGGCTACGATGGTGTGAGCTGAATGATCCTAGAAAAAGGGTAACAATTCCCCCTGAAATACCATAAAAATTACGACAGCTGGCCACAGAGGTCAAAGGTCGCAGCTAAGGTCATTGTACGCATTTAGTGGTTTAATATCTCAGCTCAAAAGGTCACGGTAATGGGACTGATTTTTTTTTTGAGGTTAAAACAGGTCAGAGGTCACAATCTAGGACTCTAGACTTTTCTAAACACAAAAAACAAAGAAATGCAAGAAATAATGAGCAATAAGAAAAAAAAAGACAGAAAACAAGATAAAAACAAGATAAAAAAGACAAATATAAGACACAACACAAAAACAAAACAAAGACAAGAGAAAATAAACAAAGACAAAACAAAGACGAAAGCAAAGACAAAACAAAGACGAGACAAAGACAAGATAAAGACAAGACAAAGACACTAGAGGGACAGAACATGTCAAGATAATTAACACAATGAAAATTCTTCTCTCAACGAAAAAAAAAATCTGGAATTTTTACAAATTTTTGTCCAATTTTCAATTCAACTCATTTATATTATGTATTTTTTTTAGCAAATTTGCATATATGTGCAGATTTTTTTCTTGGAATTGTCAGGAAAATTGTGAATTGTTGTAGTCATGGTATTGTGGGTTGTGAATTGTTGCAGTCATGGTATTGTGGGTTGTGAATTGTTGTAGTCATGGTATTGTGGGTTGTGAATTGTTGTAGTCATGGTATTGTGGGTTGTGAATTGTTGCAGTCATGGTATTGTGGGTTGTGAATTGTTGCAGTCATGGTATTGTGGGTTGTGAATTGTTGCAGTCATGGTATTGTGGGTTGTGGATTGTTGCAGTCATGGTATTGTGGGTTAGTTGTGAATTGTTGTAGTCATGGTATTGTGGGTTGTGAATTGTTGTAGTCATGGTATTGTGGGTTAGTTGTGAATTGTTGCAGTCATGGTATTGTGGGTTGTGAATTGTTGTAGTCATGGTATTGTGGGTTGTGAATTGTTGTAGTCATGGTATTGTGGGTTAGTTGTGAATTGTTGCAGTCATGGTATTGTGGGTTGTGAATTGTTGTAGTCATGGTATTGTGGGTTAGTTGTGAATTGTTGCAGTCATGGTATTGTGGGTTGTGAATTGTTGTAGTCATGGTATTGTGGGTTGTGAATTGTTGTAGTCATGGTATTGTGGGTTAGTTGTGAATTGTTGCAGTCATGGTATTGTGGGTTGTGAATTGTTATAGTCATGGTGTTGTGGGTTAGTTGTGAATTGTTGCAGTCATGGTATTGTAGGTTGTGAATTGTTGTAGTCATGGTATTGTGGGTTAGTTGTGAATTGTTGTAGTCATGGTATTGTGGGTTAGTTGTGAATTATTGTAGTCATGGTATTGTGGGCTAGTTGTGAATTGTTGCAGTCATGGTATTGTGGGTTAGTTGTGAATTGTTGTAGTCATAGTATTGTGGGTTAGTTGTGAATTGTTGTAGTCATGGTATTGTGGGTTAGTTGTGAATTGTTGTAGTCATAGTATTGTGGGTTAGTTGTGAATTGTTGTAGTCATGGTATTGTGGGTTAGTTGTGAATTGTTGTAGTCATGGTATTGTGGGTTAGTTGTGAACTGATTCAGCAGTAAATGTCACTGTATTGGCACTGTAGTGGTACTGTAGTGGCACTGTAGTGGCACTGTAGTGGCACTGTAGTGGCACTGTGAAGCTGTGAAGGGCCATCTTATAATAAAGTTTTAATTAGTCTACGCCATTGTGAGGGAAGGAGGGAGGGAGGGAGGGAGGGAGGGAGGGAGGGGGGGGGGAGGGAGGGAGGGAGGTCCAATTCACATGAACATAGAACATGGACCACCAACTGGTCCACTGGACCACCAACTGGGCCACTGGACCACCAACAGGTTCACTGGACCACCAACTGGGCCACTGGACCACCAACAGGTTCACTGGACCACCAACTGGACCACTGGACCACCAACTGGTCCACTGGACCACCAACTGGACCACTGGACCACCAACTGGTCCACTGGACCACCAACAGGTTCACTGGACCACCAACTGGGCCACTGGACCACCAACTGGTCCACTGAACCACCAACAGGTTCACTGGACCACCAACAGGTTCACTGGACCACCAACTGGTCCACTGGACCACTCCATATAAACATTTAGCAAGATAAAACAAGTGGGTCATAAACCTGCCATTTTTACTGTGTTCAGTTTCACAATATTTTGATGGTATATTTTTTCAAGGCCCGAGGGTGTACATGTGTGTGTGTGTGTGTGTGTGTGTGTGTGTGTGTGTGTGTGTGTTTTCCATCTCTCTGTGTCTCTCTATGTCCGAGTTACTCAGAGTGAATACAAGTTGTAGTCTGTCCTGCCTGCTACCCTCTCCCCCTCCTCCCCCTCCTCCCCCTCCTCTCCCTCCTCTCCCTCCTCCCCCTCCTCCCCTCCTCCTCCCCCTCACAAAGACTGGCCACCAGGAAAAGGGAACCACATTGACCATCACTCAGTCCACACCCAATATCACGCAGGTTCAACGCAGTATGAAAGCAGATTCAACGAAGCTCGAAAGCAGGTTCAATGCAGTATAAACGTAGGTGCAATGCACGAGGTTCAACAGGAGAGAAAAGCTCTTTCAGTATTCAGTTTACAACAGGTATTGAATAACAGGAATCCAACGGTAGGGGTGGAAAACAGGACCATTAATAACAGGAAGAAGAAGAGGAGGAAGAAGAAGAGGAGGAAGAAGAAGAGGAGGAAGAGGAAGAAGAGGAGGAAGAAGAAGAGGAGGAAGAGGAAGAAGAGGAGGAAGAAGAAGAGGAGGAAGAAGAAGAGGAGGAAGAAGAAGAGGAGGAAGAGGAAGAAGAGGAGGAAGAAGAAGAGGAGGAAGAGGAAGAAGAGGAGGAAGAAGAGGAGGAAGAGGAAGAAGAGGAGGAATAAGAAGAGGAAGAGGAAGAAGAGGAGGAAGAAGAAGAGGAGGAAGAGGAAGAAGAGGAGGAAGAAGAAGAGGAGGAAGAGGAAGAAGAGGAGGAAGAAGAAGAGGAGGAAGAGGAAGAAGAGGAGGAAGAAGAGGAGGAAGAGGAAGAAGAGGAGGAAGAAGAAGAGGAGGAAGAGGAAGAAGAGGAAGAAGAGGAGGAAGAGGAAGAAGAGGAGGAAGAGGAAGAAGAGGAGGAAGAGGAAGAAGAGGAGGGGAGATCTGTTTACATTTACACTCGTAAGTGATTTACATTTAAAGTTAGTTTAATATGTTTATTATGCACCCCATACCCATCCTGTGGGCGGTAGTCACCCCATACCCATCCTGTGGGCGGTAGTCACCCCATACCCATCCTGTGGGCGGTAGTCACCCCATACCCATCCTGTGGGCGGTAGTCACCCCATACCCATCCTGTGGGCGGTAGTCACCCCATACCCATCCTGTGGGCGGTAGTCACCCCATACCCATCCTGTGGGCGGTAGTCACCCCATACCCATCCTGTGGGCGGTAGTCACCCCATACCCATCCTGTGGGCGGTAGTCACCCCATACCCATCCTGTGGGCGGTAGTCACCCCATACCCATCCTGTGGGCGGTAGTCACCCCATACCCATCCTGTGGGCGGTAGTCACCCCATACCCATCCTGTGGGCGGTAGTCACCCCATACCCATCCTGTGGGCGGTAGTCACTCCATACCCATCCTGTGGGCGGTAGTCACCCCATACCCATCCTGTGGGCGGTAGTCACCCCATACCCATCCTGTGGGCGGTAGTCACCCCATACCCATCCTGTGGGCGGTAGTCACCCCATACCCATCCTGTGGGCGGTAGTCACCCCATACCCATCCTGTGGGCGGTAGTCACCCCATACCCATCCTGTGGGCGGTAGTCACCCCATACCCATCCTGTGGGCGGTAGTCACTCCATACCCATCCTGTGGGCGGTAGTCACCCCATACCCATCCTGTGGGCGGTAGTCACCCCATACCCATCCTGTGGGCGGTAGTCACCCCATACCCATCCTGTGGGCGGTAGTCACCCCATACCCATCCTGTGGGCGGTAGTCACCCCATACCCATCCTGTGGGCGGTAGTCACTCCATACCCATCCTGTGGGCGGTAGTCACCCCATACCCATCCTGTGGGCGGTAGTCACCCCATACCCATCCTGTGGGCGGTAGTCACCCCATACCCATCCTGTGGGCGGTAGTCAAAAGGTTACAGAGGTACATAATTGGTCCAGGGACTGGACTCCAAAGTTTTGATAGCTGAGCAAGTTACAGAGGTAATGAACTCACAATTTACAAAGGTAATGAACTCACA